AGCCGACATCACATAGGGTTAGGATTAGCGTTTTATTAGTTGCAGGTATATATTTTTAGTAAATTGTCACTTGGTGTGATGTCGGCTAAGTGAGCTGTCGGTAATCCGTATTCTCAAATTTTTTAATTATTTTGAGAACACTAGCATTAAACACTGACTATTACATTTACAATAATTAACAAGTAATTATATATGTACCGTTTTGCATGGAAGTAGAAGGAGTAACGTAAAGAGGAATTTCTACGTTGGTATTTGATGGATAATCTAGAAACGTCGATATGGTTGTAAATTTGTTATTTATCGGGTAATTTTTTGTAGTCATTTGTTTTTTGTTTTTTTTTTGTGATCTCTAATAATTGTGAGTTAAAAAGTTTAAATGTAAATTTATTATTATACTTTTATATATCTTAGTAGCTTCATTTTCTGGTAAAGGATAAATTGGAAATAATATTTGTGTAGATTCGGCTGCTATTGTATAAATATATAATATTGATAATTAATAACATGAAAAACCATAGGCGATAGGTGAAAAACTTAAATCATACCATTTTCGGAAAAAGTTTGCGAATCTCATAACACTTCTTCCTATTTTATTGTGACGAGATCTTAAAATCTTGCAGTGTAATAACATAAACTCAAGAGAGCATGTATAATATCTCATTACTGTACCAAGTTTCTGGTGTATACATATTCTTTGGCAAAAATCTTCCTTTCATTGCTTTGCTTTTTTTACGTTTTTTGGAGATACTTGCTGGAAAAACTCAAGGAATTGATTAAATTGAAAATTGGGTATTGGGTGGTTTTAATAGAAAATCCTCCCTATGACGACTTTTTTTTTTTTTAAAAAAAAGAAAAGATTATCATCGTCATAGAAATATAGTAAATTACTCTATAAAGAACTTTCAAAAAAATTTTTTATTGTTCGTTATAAAGAAAGTTGACTATTTCAGACTTCAGTGAAGCTTTAATTAATGATCGTCAATTAAAAAGTGAATGTTTATTTAAAAAAAAAAAAAAAAAAGGAACGTCTAGTTTCCCACATGACTTTCAGCTATTCTTTCAAAGCATTGTTATGAATTTTTAATTAAAAAGAGATCTGGGTTATTTGGGTTAATTTATAGATAAAAATAGCTTCTTTGATATTCTTTTAATTAATTACAACACTTTAGTTGACGCCAAAATTCTTTTTTGACATTATTGCCGCCTTACTCCCAAAAACGAGAATACTGCGTACGTTACGTATTACGTACGTACCAGCAATGTTCACTCACGTCATTCCTTCATTTGGCCTCCTTGTGGTTTTCTTTAATCTTTTATTTCGGAAAATTATATTTTTTTGCCAATAGATGATGTATATTGACGTATTAATAATATAAACAAAAGGGTTGAAAAGGTATTTTGAACTTTATTTTTGATAATGAAAAAATTTTGTCTTTTGTCATAAAACCGGTACATGATTTGGAATAAATTCAATTATAAAACGATGATGGTACGACAAACGCTTGGAGTGATAATGATCAGGGATGTATGTGCACGTTATACGAGAAGTTCAATAATTAGATTTGAGCGTTTTTGCATCATTCGACTTCTCTCACTGAGAATCGAATAGTTTGAATTCGATATCTTTCTTGTATAGTAAGAAGAGCATTATGATAAAGATCGAATTGAGATATTTCATGTTCCATTGATTTGATTTATATCATTTGACATCCTTCTTTCAGTGTAAAACATCGATATCTGATTACTAGATCGCACGATAACCTAAAATATCATAATATCCTGTTTACCTTAAATGTCAAAAATTTTATATAGATGTGTATCAGATACCTTTTATATTTTATCGTATGATGTAACTCGGAACGTCTTATCTAAGGTTAAATCTTTGATATATATAGAAATTTCAATAACGATAAACTTTTCTTTTCTAATTATAAAGATAATTTACGATGAACAATAAATATGAATAATACATGATAACCAGAAGTTGCACAGACTCTAACCTTGTCCAAGTTGATCCAAGAGTTTAATACTGATCAAATTGATCAAAGTGTGATAGTTTCATAAATAGATATCATATTTAATTTTCTGGAGGAACGAAGTGGAAGTCTTTCAAGCTAAATTTCAGAAATATCCGTTCAACTAGTCCTGATTTAGATACAGAGTCCAAAAAAAAAGTTGGATACCGAACCATGATTTAAAATATAGTAGATTATTTCATTTAATAAAAGTATGTTTTTGAAAAATATATATATTATTATAACTTTATTGCAGTATTGGTTTTTTAGATAAAAATTTAATTTAATAGGTTTAAATCGACTAATTTCTTGAATATTATTTATTTGATTAACCAAGTTATGCGCAATAATTATTTTGACGATAGTAAGTTCTTAGGTTTAGGTTCTTAGAACTTGGTTCTGGACCTAGCCTATAAAACCCACGTGTAATACCACTTAAAAGAGATTAGTCAAATTTGAAATGACTTCCGGATCGGTAGGTTTATTTGATTACTCTTTTTGTGATTGGCTATTATAATAAAATTTATTATTTTTGTAACTACCTGAACAAATTTAGAATTGAAATAAAATAAAGATTTATTGAATTTGGTGTTTATTAATTATCAAGAAATTTGTAAAAAAAAATATTTGAAAAAGACAATTTCTATTTGTACACTAGTTATGAAACACGGGTATAGTCGAAATTTTAATATAAAGTACCTTTTAACCCTAATATTAAGTGGTTTTTATGAATTTTATATGTTAACACGGATTAATTAACCCGTGTTTCGTACACTAGTATAGATTTTTGAAATTTTCTTTTTAAAAAACTTAAATGAAAATATCTCGACAAACACCCATGAAATTCGATGAAATTTTTTTTTTTTTAATTCATAAATCTGTATATAGAATTAAAATAAAAATTTTCAGAGTTTCATCGGTGGTTTTAAAAATTTTAAAATAGATATACGTCAGCGATTTTATTGAGATGTTTACCGTATAAGCGCGAAATAACGCGCAGGGTGTAATTTCGAAGTTTGGCCTAAATTAAGCCTAATTCGGGCCATTATTCAAAATAACGCCCTGCGCGTTATTTCGCGCTTATGCGGTATTGAAATTTTGAATCATCATGTGACCATAAATCGAGCACAGAACAGATTATAATTTTGCGCCGGTTGAGGCAATAACCAACCAACTATATATGACTATAGACCCTAATAGGGGTACGATTATTAAACTGGACAAGAAATTTTAAATTTTTTACTGAAATTATATTATTAAAAAGGCTTTTTAATTGAATCTAGCATTATTAAACCGGTATTAGTAAAAAAAAAGTCATGTGCTTACTGTAAAACGGGTATGATTTTATCGAAATAAATTATAAAAGAATCCATATATCATACAGTCATATTTTCTGAAATTTCGAAAAGTTCCGAAGTAGGAAATGAAAGTGCCTAAAATACGAGTAAGGCAAAATTTTTCAAAAATTCCGAAACGTTCCGAAATAAAATTTTATGTTATATAATTATTAGAGGGTACAAGACTTTAAATGGACAAAATTTGAAGTCTTAAAGCGGACAAAATGCCTGAAAATTTACTATTAACTCAACTCGTACCTCTATTAGTATTATCCGGGACCCTGTTAACATCCTTGGTCGCGTTACATTTGATTCTGCAGTCTCATCAACACGCGTAATACTTTTGTGGAAACTAGCCCTCTCCTCACTTAACTTCAACAACTGACTTGTCAAATCCCGATTGTCTTAGTGATCATCATTATATGACCTGCACTATGTTTTTGTAATTAGATTGATGTTGTACACCCAATAGATCATGGTTCCCGACCATGGCTATTTTGCTAAACAAAGAGAAGGAGGAGACCTGGGTTTTGTTCGATGTATCATAAATAACGTATTTTGACTTTACCTACCAACTGAATATATTCCTTAATAACCTATTATCATTAAATCCGAATCCTTTATAAACATTTATCTCGCTTGTAACCCTGAGCCATTTGACCTCACGTTAGCCAAGTCTCTGTAGGGTTAGGGTTGAGGCTATTAGTAAAATTTCACGAGGAACATTTTCAATTAGGCCGCAAAAGGTGGTTTCCTAATTAAAATTTAGAGCTATTCTTGTTTTTTTGTAAAAAGGTGGTTTCACTTCTATTTTTACGAATAGTAGCGGTAGCGCAACAAAAATTCAGCAGATTGGGTCGGAATAGGCCGGAATTGATTTTTATAGAACAGTCTAGAAAAATCATTATTTGGAACTTGCTTATGTATTGTTTTCTGTATTTATTATATGTATTTTAATAAAACATACTATCTACACCGATATCAATATAATACATAATCTATAACTCGTGATTACGCCATCCCGACAATAATTTGGGATAAATTTTTAAGGTGGTCCACGAATTTTGAAATTAGCTGTAATGACTATACGACAGATTGGAAGAGATTGATACACAATGTTTATGAAAATGAAACACGACCCATAAAAAAAATAAAGGTAAAGACTTGTATTGTCAAAAATGATAAAAATAGTATAGATGATTAATTCATGTTTTGGCTCAAATATGTAAAGAATACACTGGCCGGTCGCTCTGTATTCATGCTTCTAGAGCATGAGTATATCCTCGTCAGTCGTATTCAAATTATGCACTGGCCGGTCGCTCTGTCTAGAGCATGAGTATATCCTCGCCAGCTGTATATTATGCTACCAGTATATTCTCGTGAAATGAGCCGTGCTGCATCTTCTGATAATACTATTATATACTATCTTGATTTATTTAGCAAGCATTATGAATACTTAGACTTATTTTATCTATTAGAAAACAGATCTTATTAAGAATGTGTGGAAGAAATTTGATTTGGCAAAGAAAGGATAAGACGTTGATGATTTTTTCGGATTTTTGAAAAGCGAAGCGATCAAATACGATTTACAAAAATGGGTAATAATCAATGATACTGTGAAAAATATAACAAATCTAAGTTGGTTTTTAGCTTCCTATGTGATAATTATAGTATATTAAGTATTAAGTAATAATTTCTCATTTTTTAAGCTAGACAGCGATGATAACATCGTAAAAATACTATGTAATTGGGTCCAATTTTCGGATCTTCAAAAGGATGACGTCCTTTTATCAGGCATAATTGACACGAGGAAAATGCTATGTTCATTAAAAATGTATTTAGAATTGAGAGGCGTTTGTTAACGAAGAAATCATAGTACACGATATTCTTGCAGAATTTGAAAGGCACATAGAACGTGTTGATGACGACGATCGAATCAGGGTCGATGATTTACTGCGATCACAGAAAACAGCAGAATTTTCCTTAAAAACGGCTAGCCACAGAAATCACATTTAGTCATCGCAAAATACCACAAAAATCCAAAAAAGTAGTGCAGAATATCACAGAATTCTATAATATCACAGGATTTGATCATAAATCATAATCATAAATTCAGATTGGGCACCGGGAAATCCCAATTATGACATGTTTGTCGGGAAGTTACGGAATTTTGCACATTTGTATTTTTAATCGCATCAAATCACAGAATCAAACTAAATTACCACAGAGTTACGCAGAAATTAACTTCTTCATCACAGAATACATTTTAAAAAAACAGCACATGGCATCACAGAATTTTTCTTAACCGAAAACAGAAAATCATCGTCCCTGGATCGAATCCCTGACAAATACTATAATTCGATT